GGGGGGGGGGGGGGGGGCTGTTGTCTCACCTCCTCCTTGGAAATGCCGGCCTGCTTCTTGCGGTTCCACTCGCTGTAGTGCAGGCAGACCCCGTTGCGGTCGAAGAGGTAGAGGTTGTGCACCGTCATCTGGGGCGCGGGGAGACAAAGGGGGGGGGGGGGGGCAAGGCACCCCCAGGTTAGAGCCAGGCTGCGGGAGAGGCCTCCCCCGTCAGCCACCCCACGCAACACAGAGGGATATCAATACACTCGTCATGAGGATAACGCCGCCCATCATCCACACCTCCCCTCCCGCTCAGATTTTTCGGGGCCGGGAAGGACCCCCCTCACCGCCCCCCCACCCCAAAAAAAATTTACCTCAGCGGCCGCTTCCGTCTCTATGACAACCCGCAGGCCCGACGTCCTCCGCTTCCGCCTACGTGACGCCACGGCCCTGTTCGCTGATTGGCCCCCGTCCCGCTTTCGGGCCCGCCTTTCTCTCGACCCAGGCGCGCCCTCGCGCGAGCCCTTCCTGGCGAGGGCTTTGCCCTTAACGCGGGAAGATTTGCCCGCAAGGAAAATGGCGGCGCCGGCTTCACCTCGCTCCCGCCTCCGAGGCTTTGCCCGGCGCTGCGCGGGGGCGAAAGAGCCGAGCGGGGGCCCCTGCGAGGACCGGAGCGGCGGGGATGGAGGCCTAGAACCTGTCGGGGCAGCAGAGTGGGTCTCAAAGCGAGGACACGAGACGGGGTCGCTAAAATGACGGGGAGGGGTCGCTGGGGAGGGGGACCTATTTTACCTCAGGAATGTGGGGGAGGGGCCCCTGCGGGAGGAACACCCTCCCCTGCAGATGTGCAGGACTCCAACTCCCATTGTCCTCCCTGGGAGCCTGGCAGAGTTGGCGAGGGATGATGGGAGATGGAGTCCAAGGCAGAGGGTCAGCTGAGGAGGGTCAAGAGGGGGTGGTCCTGAGGGGAGAGGGGTGAGTAGGAAGCCTTTTTGGAGACCACGGCACGATGTTGGGGGGGGGGGGGGGGAGAGCTTTCGCTGCTCCCCATGTCTTCTCAGCTGTCCTGGGATTTCCTGGTGGTCTCCCATCCTTTCCCTCCCCAAATGAGCTTCTCAAGGTTGGCTGGCTGATTCTGGACCAGGCTGAGGAGGAACCAGAAAAAAAAAAAAAATAAGAGAAAGCCTCGCTGGGTCAGGGGCTTAAATTCCACCCCCTCCCCACTTTTCATGCTCCCAGAGCTCAACGTCACTTTTTTGTGATTTTTCTCCCTCACGGATTAATTTTACAATACTGCCAGCCATTCGGTGCCACCTCGGACAGCGAGAGGGCATATAAATGCAACAACCCCATAATCTGGGTGGAGTCTGGTCGACTGAATGGAGCTGAGCGTTTTTACTGGCCGGATACTGTTCCTGTCGCCAATGCGGAGTTTTTTCCCCTAGCAGATAATATTCTCGTTGTGCCCAGAAAGAAAAATAATCTGCCTCTCATGGGATTTGAACTCACAGCCTCCTGATTGTAAGGCGATGTCAGACACCCACACCTGACTATTCCAGATCTTTGAGCAAGACTGGATAGGACGACAAAACTAGCAAATCCATCTGAACATCTGGCCGACCAGTGATTTTAAAAAACATCTAGGGAAAGGCAGGACTTGTTCCCCCTTGCTTTCTTCCTTTGTGCACTGAATTTCAACTTCTATTTTTTTTTAAATTCTTTTTCAGGTGCCAGCTGCTTTCCTGGTAGTGGTTTCAGCCTCCTGCTTCTGGCGTTTGGGGCTCCATTATGACAGAAGAGCCAGCCTTCTGAGCTCAGAATGATTGTACTGGCTCCAGCCCTTCACTTAGGACCCCGAGACCATGGCTGAGAAGGGCCTCAGGAGAGCTCTGAGCTCTTCCCTCCACAGCGACGACCTCTTAAGCGACATGGAGCTGCTGCCAGCCTCGGACCCCCCCACCCCTGGGCAGCAGGTGCCCTGTTCTCAGCTGGCCACCCCATATACCTCCAAAGTGACCACCCAGCTCTACGCCTCCCTTCACCAGAGCCGACAGGCCGAGGCTCAGGCCTCTTCTCGGCTGGAGGGACAGCGCGGCTCGGCCTTAGCTAGGAATGCCATGGATGCTGATGTCGATATGGACACTCTGGCGGAAGAGCTGAGCCATCGGCTTTCCGCCAGCGTGGAGGCCAGTGCGTTTAGGCAGGTGAGAAAGAGACTTCCAGGACAAACGCCCACCAGGGTTCAGGAAAGCTTCGGTGGCTAAGCCGAGTCTCCGTTTCTTGTAGGGTGCCGTGGCCGAGTCGCGTCACATTTCCGAGATGGAGAACGTGCGGTGCCACCTGCAGAGTATGTTGCGGGGATCCAGAGATGTGCCTGGTGAGAATGGGGAAAGGGGAATGGCCTGGATAGGATGTGAAATGGAGAGATAAATAAGACCTTTTTCTTAGTCCACTCCTATAGTGACCCTACAACAGATGTTTTATTTATTGCATTTAGAAACCCGCTTAATTATTTTTATACATAACTTAAAGTGGCGAACATACTGAATATTTCTTCGTACTCCTAGTTTCTTCACAACACCCCTGTGAGATGGGTTGGGTTGAGAGCCCAAGATGGGACTAGGACTCACTGTCACCTGGTGATTGGTGCAGAGTCACCCAGACAGCTTTCATGCCTAAGGCAGAACTAGAACTCCCAATCTCCTGGTTATTCGCCCAAAGTCACCTAACTGGCTTTCATGACTAAGGCAGGACTATGACTCCCAATTTTTAGCCAGGTGCCTTTACCGCTAGCCAAAACTGGCTGTCTAATTTTTCTAAGAGAGTTTATTTTATTTCACAAAACAGAGCCCCCAGATTAGCACCTTTATATCTTATGAGTCAGACTGGGATCCACTTCATCCCCCAGACAGGGTGATGGGTTCTGTTTGATGCTAAAATTGGGGAAAGGAACAACAGTTCTGACTATAGTGATATGTCCAGGATACCTGAAGTGTTTGGTCTCACATTTCTCTCCTGCTCTGGGGAGAGTTGTAGAAGTTGTCTGGTGGGAAAGATCAGGGCCACATGTAAAGGTCCAATTAGACTGCTTTATTGCTGAAAGCCTTTGCACGGGAATCTTCTAATTAAACTGCTTTATTGCTAAAAGGCTAAGTGCAGGAAACTTCTAACTAAACTGCTTTATTGCTGAAAGCCTTTGCATGGGGATCTTCTAATTAAACTGCTTTATTGCTACAAGCCTAAGCGCAGGAATCCTCTAACTAAACTGCTTTATTGCTGAAAGCCTCTGCACAGGAATCTTCTAATTAAACTGCTCCATTTTTGAAAGCCTCTGTGTAGGAATCTTCCAACTAAATATCTTTATTGCTGAAAGCCTACGTGCAGGAATTTTCTCAACTAAAATTCCTGCTAGGAGTTAAATAAGGATCCACAGAATTCAGGGGAGGTTGGTCTTAAGTTCACTTGTGGCTACGTAGTGATTCTAAGCTGATCCCTCTTTTGACTCCGCCCCCAGCTTCTGCAGAGGTACCCCTGAAAGCTGAGCCTCCTTTCAGCTTTGCTCTCTTCTTGCAGGGGGTCCAACAGTCACGCTAGAATCCTTGGAACGCAAAGATGACGACTCCTTTGAGAGTGACAGCACGGGTGCTCTGCTCAAGTAAGACGGCTTTAGCCGAGTTGGTGGTGCAGAGAGTAAGAAAGAATAAGAATAGAAATAAAATAATGTTAAGGTAATGAATATTTAAGAGCTGACCAGCTGCTATTATACTGCTGTAGATGCTGATGCAATGACCATGGGTCAGCAGGGTTTCGCCACTTTAAGGCTGAGGATGGGTCCACAGGGTTATTGCCATTTTAAGAAGCTATCTAGTTCTAGGCGGCCATGAGAGGGCGTCATTCTCTTGTCCTCATGTTTTATGTCCGTCGTAGTTTTCCATGCAGAGTATTGGAGATGGCTTGCTTGCTAGGTACTTGCCTACCATGTCTATATATGTATATAGCGGTCTTGTATATAAACCACTGTTAAAAGACTCTGTGTGCTGTGTTTTGTTCCTGGATTTTCTCACAATAGTAGTCACGCTTGCAAACACTCTGACAAATAATAACTTTATTGTCACTTCGAATGGACGCTAATCGGCATACATTAAAATGAAATTTCATTAAATACAGCTCAAAAGAGTCAAGCCCCTCCGATATACACAACAAAATAAATAAGGAAATAAATACAAAATGTTATTTATTTCCATTTATTACCTTTGAGGCAAATAGGCAGGAAGTGTTCTCTCACAGGGGGAATGAACCATTTTTTAAGCCCAGAGCAACAATACAGGTAGTCCTCGACTTATGACCATAATAGAGGCCAAAACTTAGACATTTGTTAAGTGAGCTTTGTTCCATTTTATGACTTTTTTTTGTTGCCACATTTGTTAAGCGAATTGCCGCAGTTATTAAATTAATAACACCATCATTAAGCAAGTCTGGCTTCCGTAGTGACTTTGCTTGTCCGACAATCGCCAAAGGGGATCACGTGACCCCAGGACGCTGCATCCGTCATAAATACGAGTTAGTTGCCGAGCATCTGAATTTTGATCACATGACCACGGGGGGATGTAAGTGTGAAAAACGGGTCCTAAGTCCATTTGTAACTTCAAACAGTTGCTAAAGGGTTGTAAGTTGAGGACTGTCCTTACAAGGTTGCATTACAGGCAGTCCTCCCTTAACCACCACTGACAAATCAGTCACTAAGTGAAATGATGGGAAATACAAGGATATGTCCAATTTATATCGTTTCCGGGGCGGCCATTAAGGAAATAACCACGATTTGCAACTTTTACTTTTTTTTTTCTTCCCCCTTGGTAAATTTGCTTCTCTTGGCTTCGTTTAGCGCCCGTCCTCTGCACGATGTCTCCCCTCCAGGATCTCTGGCCAGCTTTGAGGATCTCTTCCCCCGCTACACCAGCCTGCGCCTGGGTCATTTCCATGATCCAGTCTCCCAGCTGGATCCCCGCTTGTTAAAAGACGCTTTGGAGAAAGAACAGGCCCGGCGGAAAGTGAGTTGGACTCAGGGACCGCCGCGGGGTTGCAAAGGATCGTGGGTAAGCGAGGCCACATTGCCCTGAACCAGGCTGCTTCCTAACTGGGCTTGAGAATGCTAGTTTGGGGGCGCCTTGTTTGTCCTAAACCCAACCCCCTAAGGCAGAGTGTCCAATTTTGGCCATGTTTAAAGACCTGTGGACCAACAAGATATATTACGCTTACTGCATACCCACCATCTATTAAGAGAATTACCCGACATGGCTGGCTGGGGAATACTGGGAATTGTCTTCAGAGTTGCCAAGGCTGGCACTCCATTCCTAAGGTCCTTTTCAGGTGTGTGTGTGTGTGTGTGTGTATGTTTGGGCAAGGATCAGGGCAGTGATTGGGTGCCCATGCATTTAGTTCTTTGGCTCTCGAGACAACGAACACCCCAATAAGTAGACATTTTAAACATTATTCTTAGCTCGAATTATCACCCCTAATCCTTGTCTTCATTAGACTAACAGAATAATAGAGTTGGAAGAGACTTTGGATGGCTTCTGGTCCAACCTGCTCCAGACAAATGGCTGCCCAGTCTCTTCTTAAAAACTCCAGTGATTGAGCACCCGCAACTTCTGGTGGCAAGTTGTTCCACCGGTTAATTGTCCTCACCGTTAGAAAGTTAATCCTTTAAAAAAAACTTGTATTGAAAATAAACATTTAAAAAGCCTTGAACATGGTGGACTTCCTTTGACATATATATCAGTCTTCATATTATTATACTAGGAAAAAATCATTAAGCAATATAAGCGTTTATATACATATATACATTTAGTCTTTGTGTCATTTTAAATCTGATTCATTGTGCTGCATTTCAATTACATCGTAGATTCTAATTTACATTTTATCGACTTCCTTTCGTATCTCTCCATATATAGAAATTGTTTCATACTTTATAATATTCTGATAAGCCTCGTACTTTCAATTCTAATGTCAAACTGTTTAGTTCAACGCACTGAAAAATCTTGTCTATTATTGCTTTGTCATTTGGAATTTCTTTTGACTTCCAAATAGTCTTGCTGCTGTAATTACATTAATAATTAGGTAAATATCTGCTTTACTAAAATTCTCTTTTATTATTAACCTAGTAGGAACATCTCCGGTATAAAGTTAATTTTTTAAACCCCAACGTTTTTCCCAGCCATGTCCGGATTTTGTGCCAAAACTCTTGTGTTTTCTTGCAGTCCCGCCACATGTGATAATAGGTACCCCGTTCTTTCAAACATTTCCAGCATGTGGGTGATTGAGAACCATACATTTTGGCTAGCCTGGCCGGTGGGAGATGCCACCTGTAAAAAAATTTTAAACAGATTTTCTTTGTAAGAGGTGGCTAGCGTGATCTTTTGTTCGGTCCCAAATTTGCTGCCATTTGTCCTAGGTTTATGCTATGGCAGGAAATTCCTCCTTAATTCCAGGTTGCTTCTCTCCTTGATTAGTTTCCGTCCATTGTTTCTTGTCCTGCCTTCAGGGGCTTTGGAAAATAATTTGACCCCCCTCCACTTCGGAGCAGCCCCTCAAATACTGGAACGCTGCTTTCATATCCCCTGCATTCTCCTTCTTTACTCTAGATTAGCCAAACCCAGATCCTGCAACCGTTCTTCGTAGGTTTTACTCTCCGCGCCTTTGGTCCTCTTAGTTGCTGTTCTCTGCAGTTTTTCTCAAAGTCTCAACCTCTTTTTTGTATCGCGGGGGACCAAAACTGGATGCAGGAAGCCAAGTGTGGCCTTACCGAAGCAGCCTATAGCAAAGTATATGCAAAGCCCTTTTTTTCTTGTTCCTATTTCTCTTTGAAATTAAGAAGAAGTTGCTCTTATCTGAACTTTTCCCCAAGTCTCAAGGTCACGGAGTCCTCGCGGCAATAATGGCCTTCCGCACCGCCACTACAGGGGGTTCCTGCCTCCCTATATTGCTTCCGGAGCGCCTTCTAAGTGGGACAAGCGATTGCTTGGCATTACTGTCCTTGCAGCCACGGGCAGTCCTGGCTTAGGGGAGGTCAGGTGGTTTATTTTAGGACATTAGGCAAAGCTCCTGCGCTCATCCACTCAAATGGCCTCTGCTCACCTTCCCCGAGGTCCCTGTTCCCCTGGTTCACTGCCCCTTACCTGCCCGTTTCCACTTGCCATAGGGGCAAAATCTCCCCTACAAGGATACAGGTAGATCTCGACTTACGACCCACAAGGGAGCCCCAAGTTCCGGCTGCTAAGTGAAACACTTGAGAAGGGAGTTCTGCCCCATTTACGGTGTTTTCCTGCCCCTCGACTTACGACGATTGAGCTCCAAATTCCCGCTGCTAAGTGAAACCCTTGGGAAAGGGAGTTCTGCCCCATTTTTACGGCGTTTTTCTGCTGTTCAGTGAATCCCTGCAGCCGTTAGTCACACAGTTATTAAATGAAGCTGGCTTCCCAGAAGGTCGTAAAAATGGATCACGTGAAACTGCGACTGTCATAAACATGAGTCTGTTGCCAAACCTCTGAATTTTGATCACGGGACTACGGGGGATGCTACAGTGGTTGTAAGGGAAGCGGGGGGGGGGAACCTTTTTCAGGGATGATGTAACTGGTCCCTAAAGGAACTGTTGTAAGTTGAGGACTTCCTGTAATCGTTTAACCAAAGTGAGCAAACTCAAAAGGCAGAGGAGGAGAAGGAAGGAGTATGAGGTGTATCCATCGCCTTGAGTTACTCATAAAAATATCAGATGTGAGATATTAATAAACGGGAGAGACAGGCATTTCCACCTTGGAGGGATTACAGGGAGCCCTCAATTTATAACCACAATGGAGCCAACGTTTGCGTTGCTAAGCGAGACAGTGAAGTTTTTAATGACCTTTCTCGCCCCCGTTCGTTGAGTCACACGGCCGTTAAGTGAATCCTGCTTCCCCGCTGACCTAGCTCATCGGAAGGTCGCAAAAAGGGGATCACGTGACCCCTCCCCAGGACACTGCTGTACGGTCCGAACTTTGATCAATTGACCAGTGGGAAGGACGCTGCAACGGTCACAAAGTGTGAAAAACGTTCCCAGGTTCCCTTTTTGCAGTGCCGATGTCACTTCGAACGGTCGCTAAATGAACGGTTGTGAGTTGAGGACTATTTGGAGTCAGCCGCTCCCAATCCAGACCCTTCCTTGCGTGTTCTACTCAGTGTAGGGGCGAGAGATATAAACAGGCGTCCTTGGTATATAGAGGATTGGGGGGGTGGGGGGGTTTGCAGTACCCTTCCCTTCAATTCCTCCCTGCCTCCCTCCTGCCGCCCCCAGCCCAACTCCCTCCCAACTCCGTTACTCTATTCTGCTCCAGGGAATATTATTATCCACTATTATTATTAGTACCATCTTTTAACGCTATTGTAAACAGTGATGATTCTTGTCTATTTCTGGTCTACAGTACTTCTAATTTCTGTTCTATTCTATTCTATTCTATATTCTATTCTATTCTATTCTAATATTCTATTCTATTCTACATTCTATTCTGTTCTATTCTATATTCTATATTCTATTCTATATTTTATTCTATATTATATTCTAATATTCTATTCTATATTCTATTCTATTCTATTCTATTCTATTCTATTCTAATATTCTATTCTATTCTACATTCTATTCTATTCTATATTCTATTCTATTCTATTCTAATATTCTATTCTATTCTACATTCTATTCTATTCTATATTCTATTCTATATTCTCTTCTCTTCTAATATTCTATTCTATTCTACATTCTATTCTATTCTGTTCTATTCTATTCTAATATTCTATTCTATTCTACATTCTATTCCATTCCATTTCATTCCATTCCGCAGGGGGTTAGACTAGAGTACCTCCAGGGTCCCTTCCCACTCTTGTTATTCTATTCTAATCTATTTCCACCTTTCCTCAGCACTGCGAGCGGCACATCCAGGCCCTCCAGAACCGCATCCTGGAGCTGCAGCAACAGCTGGCGGTGGCCGTCTCGGCCGACCAGAGGAAAGACAGCATGATCGAGCAGCTGGATAAGGTGGGCCTTGGTTGGGAGGGTGGGGGTGGCAGCAGGGGGCTGCGCAAGGGGCGGCCTCGCCTGGGTCAGCGGTTTTACTTAGTGGATTGCGGGAGAGTCCTTGGGGCTCTCTGAGCTGGGTTGCTTTCTCGCAGACATTTCATGACCCAACTAGGTAGTGTCACCAGCGCTGGAAGGGTTTGCAGAGTGGAGGAGGAGGAAGGAGAGGAAGGGAGGAGGACTGCGGCCCTCTGAGTGGCCTCTCTGAACTGCTTTGTTTTCTTGCAGACTTTTTATGGCCCAGCTTGATAACAACCTCAGTGCTGGAAGGAAGCGGGGTTAGCTAGCACTGATGATGTTACCTAGCTGGGTCATGTAATGTCTGCGAGAAAACAACTCAGCTCAGAGATCAATGAGGAGCGCAGTTCTTTTCTTCCTCCCCACCACTCCCTCTCCACAAACCCCAGTCCCTTTAGTTTTTAGGCCTAAGGCGAGACTCGAACCCACCGTCTCCTGGTGATTGGCCCAAAGTCACCCAGCAGGCTTTCAGGCCTAAGGCGGGACTAGAACTCATGGACTCCCCTTTCCTCAGCCTGATGCTTTAACCCCTAGACCAAACTGCCTCCCAGTGCCAGGGATCTCAATGCCCTCTCCTCTGTCTTTCCGACTTCCTAGCCCAGAAACCTTCCGCAATTCTTCACCTTCCATCTCTCTCTCCCCCCCCAACCACCAAACATGCCCGGCTTATCTGGGGAGCATGGTTAGCGTAGTCTCCCCCCCCCCCCCCCGGCTCGGAGGCTTTTCCAGGGTGATGGCTTGTTTTGAAATGAATTCTCCTTCCCTTTTCTCACCAGACTTTGGCCAAAGTGGTGGAAGGCTGGAACCAGCAGCAGGCCGAGAGGACGGCGACCCTGCGCAGGCTGCAGGCCGAGAAGGAGACCGCTGAACAGGGGCTGGGGAGGCAGAAGGAGGTGGGTCTCCTTGGGCAGGGCTCTGTTGGAACGCCTACCATCATCCCCTGCCCTTGCGCAAAGGGGGGGTGGGGAGAAGAACGCCTAGTCTTCTCTACAGTAGCTCAACTTTCTCTTTTAGAAATTTACTAGCTCAATCCCCGTGCTTCGCTACGAAACGGTGGTCAGGCTTAGTTTTCCGGGAGGGAAATAAGGAAGAAAAAAATATATTCTGCCTCTGCTGCCTACCAGCATCCATCAGTATTCATCTGGCTAGCGTCCTGTCAGTGTGTGAGAGAGTTGAGGGCTGTTTGGAAACTGAAACAGTATTTGCTGTGTCAGCAAGAAGGAGAGCCTGGGTGTGGCTTAGCTCAACTGTTCCGTCCTAAAGCTGCTGGGTGCTCTGAAAATGAAGCTTGTGTTTTGCATTTGGAAGAGATTTTTTTTTTCCCGGGTAGGGAGGGGGAGTAGAACTCCTTAGCATCAGAGAATAATAATAACAACAACAACAACAGCAACAATAACAGCAGCAACAACAACAACAAAGGAAATACTCTAAATGCTCTGAGGTCATTTCGAAAAATCCTTTCTTAGTGAGACCCTAGAAGCCAAGAGGAACATAATGTGCCAACTTTCAAATTTGTAGGCTTTATAGTCCTGGAGATTTTGTGATGATGCATAAATGGTATTTTGCTTTTGTGTGTGTGTGTGTGTGTATTTGTTTTCTTAAGTTTTTGCGGGTATTTATATGTATGGCATTCAGCTTTGTTCGGGTATTTTCCCACGTCATTATAGTTGTGCTTTTAAAGTTGTGGCAACGTTTCGGCAGAATCTCATCTGCCATCATCAGGCTTCCGTATAG